CTCTAAAATTAACCGTTCAGGTTTTACAGCCTGTCAAAGTTGCAAAAAGTCAATTTTCAACTGTCAATATTTCCAAAACAGTTGAACTTAGGTATAGGGTATATCACATAAAATCTGCTCAGAATTTTATGTAGAATCCAAATATGCAATTAAATACGGGGTGTTCCATTTGAAATAACAAAATATTTTCAGCTATTCAAAAATGAGTTCTTCGAGTCAGGAGGTTCGAAGAAGGTATTTCTCATTTTTAATAATAATTTCAGGTTTATTTCAGCATGCTATTTTTCCTAATTTTGTACCTATTATTATTAAAGCATGCATATGATAGTAATTGTTAATTTAGTGTTCTTGAGTTAAACAAGGTAAAGTAAAGGTAATTTTCAACTGGTGGCTGACTAGAGGCAGTGCATTTTTTATGAAAACATTCAGTAATCAGTTGCAATTTACCTTTACCTTGTTTTAACTGATTCTGTAAATATATACATATTGTGTACATATTATAACTTATTATTTACAATTGAAAAATCTTATTATAATATAAATATTCGATCACTTTTAAAGTGAATTTCCGGTTTTTACATACTGTAAATATTTACATAAAGGCTACCACTTCCTGTGGAGATTAAAGAAAAAAAAAGCCTGGCAACACGTTTTTGCCAAACCTATTTTGGATTAATTTATTCTTTTTGAAGCTCTGCGCGTGACATATTTAAAACAATAATAATTAAGCTATTGTTATTATTGATTGATTTACATTTCAATTATTTTTTTTTATAATAAATATATTCAACTCAAGTACAAAGTTGAAATGAAAATGTAAAATTGTATTTGAGAACTTTTTTGCAATTTATGGATTTTTATCTATGTATCAAAGCTCCTAAAGATCAGATTGATTGCAAATGTATAGTGATAACTCAAGTGAGAACATTGAAATATAGGGAAAAAAATAAATAATAAAAATTTAATTTTGCTGGTTTAAACTATTGAAGCTAGAGTTGAAACTTTCAATTAGAGATTTGTAGAGGATTTAATTAGCTTTAAATTGAAGCTTAATGGCATGTAATATTGACAGTTGAGTTGAAGAGGGCGCTTCTGTACTTGTAGCTATGTATTTAAATTTTGGCGCGTAAATAATTGATTGTAATTTTAACCCCAAAAGTTAAGTCTGATGTCTGGTTTCAAGACAAGCTGACACTGACACTTTTAAAAATATTCTCTAGGGCCACTGAATGCTTTGGAAGATATTTTAACTTATTCATTGTTCATATTGTAGTCATCTTTCTTTACTCAATTTAAACGGATTAAAACTATTGACATTTACCGCCAAAATTTGAAGAACCCCAAGCCAAGTTCACTTGCGCCCTCTACAAAATTTTTGGAGAACTTCATTGGATATTTGCTGCCATTAGGTTAAAATCAGATTGAAATTACCTAACAACGTTGTGAGCTAAAATGTGATTAGATAAATATGATTTTGGAAAAAATCTTAAAAATCACATCTTCAAAAAATGACATCGAAGCCAAGGGACATTTTTTTTTTTTCAAAAAAAAATCGAGGGAGGAACCACCTTAGAATTTTGGTGTACAATTTTTTAAAATTTCCTAAAATTTTTTAGAATGTTCTAATAGTTTAGAAAAATTAAATGTCACATTTTTGACATTAACGGTTTTGAATTTAAAATGTTACATTTTTGACATTAACGGTTTTCAAAGAAAAAAAATTAATTTGACATTTTTGACATCAACAGTTTATCAAATGTTACTTTTTTGACATTAGCAATTTTTTAGTGAAAAAAATCAAATGGACCATTTTTCCAGGAATATTTTTGACATTAACGGTTTCTCATTAAACATTCAATAATAACGTTGTTGACATCAACGATTTTTTAGTAAAAATGGGAAAACTATGTTTAAAAGTACCCCCTACCCTTTGTGGACATCTTGTATTAACGGATTTCCAGTAAAAATTCAAAAGTTTTTAACATTAACGGGTTTCCATTAAAAATTTGAATTTCGCGTTTTTTCAATATTAACGATTTTCAATTAAATTAAAATTTCACGTTTTTGAAATTAACGGCTTTTCGGAAAATTCAAATTATCAGGCGTTTTACTTTTTTCCAGTGATAAATTCAAATGTCACATTTTTGACATTAACGATTTTTAAGAAAAATTTCTAATTTCATCATTTTGACATCAACAATTTTGACTTCAAAATGTTACAATTTTGAATTTTGACATTAAGGGTTTTCAAACAAAAAAAATTAATTTGACATTTTTAACATCAACATTTTATCAAATGTCACTTTTTTGACATTAGTAATTTTTCTTTAAGAAAATTCAAATGGATTTTTTTACATTAACGGTTTTCCAGGAATTTTTTTGACATTAACAGTTTCCCATTAAAAATTTATTAGTAACGTCCTTGACATCAACGATTTTTTAATAAAAATGTGAAAACTATGTTCAACGCCAACAATTGTCAAGAAAAAAATTCAAATGTCATTATTTTGACATTATCAATTTTGAATTCAAAATGTTACAGAATACGATTTGGAGCCAATCAAAAGCCCGAAATAATCAAAAATTAAATTTCTTAACCAATCAAGAGCCAGAAAAATTTTAAAAAATCAATTCCTGAAACAACCAAAATTCAAATTTTTAATATTTTCGACGCTTGATTGGCTCTGAAATTCAAATTCTGAATTTTCCCAGGTCTTGATTGGCTTAAAAATTCAAATTTTGTAAATTTCTGGCTCTTAATTGGTTTCCAAACTGTTGATTATTCTCGGTCTTCATCGAAATTGAATTTTAAAGCCAATCAAGAGCCAGGAATATTTAAAATTTGAATTTTAAAGCCAATCAAAAACCGGGAAAATTCAAAATTAGGAGCCAATCAAAAGTCCGAAATAATCAAAAAATTCAATTTCCCAACCAATCAAAAGCCGGAAAAAATTAAGAAAATCAATTTCTGAACCAATCAAAATTCAAATTTCGAATATTCTCGGCGTTTGATTGGCTCTGAAATTCAAATTCTGAATTTTCCCAGGTCTTGATTGGCTTAGGAATTCAAATTTTAAAAATTTCTGGCTCTTGATTGGTTTCCAAAATTTTGATTATTCTTTGTTTTCATTGGGCTTAAAATTGAATTTTAAAGCCAATTAAGAGCCAGGAATATTCAAAATTCGAATTTCTAAGCCAATCAAAAATCGGGAAAGTTCAAAATTTGGAGCCAATCAAAAGCCCGGAATAATCAAAAATTAAATTTCTTTGCCAATCAAGAGCCGGAAAAATTTTAAAAAATCAATTTCTGAACCAATCACAATTCAAATTTCGAATATTCTCTGACTTGATTGGTTTCCAAACTTTCGATTATTTTCGGTCTTCGTCGGGCTTAAAATTGAATTTTAAAGCCAATCAAGAGTCAGAAATTTTCAAAATTTGAGTTTTCAGGCCAATCAAGATTCGGGAAAATTCAATTTCTTAACGAATCAAGAGCCAGAAAAATTTTAAAAAATCAATTTCTAAACCAATCAAGAGCCGGGAATATTAAAAATTTGAATTTCTAATCCAATCAAAAGTCGAGGAAATGAAAAAAATTGACTTTGGAAGCCAATCAAAAGTCGAGAAAATTAAAAAATTGATACAAGAGATTTATGGATAATTTATTCAATTTTAATTGATTGCAATAATTTAAATGTAAACATGCCTTTACGGTTGTTTGTCAGGTGCGTTATGCCCACGGCGCCATATTGAATTGAGAGAACGTCAAATCGCCCTGTTGCCAACTTTGAAAATAATAAATAAAAATTCAAATATCAATGAAGTGTTGCCAACATAGTTACAATTAAACATGAAAAAGATAAAATATTACTAATCCCTGAGAAAAAAAAAAATTGGTTGAGGTTAGCAACATTTTTAGCGGCGAAATTTCTGAATTTTTGAAGCAATTTCTGGTGGGAATTTTAAAAATTTTGAGCCAATCAGAAGCCGGGAATGTTTTAAAATTAAATTTTAAAACCAATCAAAAATCAGGAAAATTGAAAAATGTCAAATCTGGCTCTTGATTGGGTTTTAAATTCAAATTTTGATTATTTCTGGCTTTTTTTTACCTAGGATTGGCTTGAAATTTTGCAAGTGGTTGAAGAATAGATTGAAATTTAGGAAAAAAAAAATTCCTTCTGGAGCGATCCACTTAGGAATACTTTGCCAAAACTGTGGGGAATTTAGAAGAATTTGTGGGGAATTGGGTAGAATTTATGGGAAATTGGAGGAATGTATGATAAATTGGGAAAATTTATGGGTTTTAACACTGAGCGTAATAAAAATAGAAAAATACATTTTTATCACGTACAATTTTGATGATTTATATGGAATTTGTAACAGGCATTTGCAGGGAATTTGGAGGAATTTGTGGGGAATTTGAATTGTTTGCATAAATATAAATACAAATAAATACATGCAAATACAAATAAATACAAGTAAATACCCATAAAACATGACAAATCCCTAGTATGAAGTACAGTACAGTGAAACAAAGAGGTTTCAATAAAGAAAATAAGTGAAAAAAAAACTCCCAATCTTGTTCACAATTCACACTGTTTTATTTTGTAAAATTGTCTAATAAAACTGTAAAAACTCACATATTAGTGATAAAACCTTTTAACACCTATTTTTCTTGTATAAAGTTAAATAACACCCACAAAAATAAATATAATCTCCTAATCTAAAAACCTATAGTCAATAAATCGACACCTACAGCTTTATTTAGTCGAGACTTGGTATTTTATTTCCGTTTCACTTGAAATGAAAAAGGAAAATCCATTTCTTTTCCGGCACCATAACGCCTCTCATAATATAGCGACCCACGTGGATTTTGTTGCACATATGGCCAACTTATATTGATCAATATGTACCTATTTATAATTTTGAAACAATTCAGTTTATTTTATTTATATTATCTTTTCATATATCAAATGTTGAGGAGATACATGATACATTATTTGGGAATTTATTATAATAGTTAAAAAGTTTTTACCTATCTTTTGCAAATCCTGGAAAACTTTTTGAAAAATTGAATAAGCTTTGGCAAATATTTCCAATGAAAAACGCATGCGTTTAGATTAGTGAATAATTGTTCATATTCTCACTAATGGCAAAACAATAATTCATTATCAGTCGTTCGTTGACTTTCTACAAAGATGGTTCTCCTCGCGCACATTTTTATTAATAAATAAAAGTGTATTTGTGCTACCTAGTTGAGTCAGTCAGTGAAATAATGTGCATTTTTATATTAGTGTAATTAATAAAAAAAATGGATTACGAAACTGAGAAAATGTTCGAGGATATCAGCAAAGAAATTTATTGCGATTTGGACGAGTTGCGGAACAAAAGTAATCGTTTTAGTGGTTATAATGACAATAATTATGCGACTGTTAATGTGGTACCGAAGAAGGAATGGCAACAGTATTGGGCAAAGTATGTTAATTTTAATGTTTAAAGCTAGTAATGATGAAAAGTCAAATTTGAATCCTTTTTTTTCCATTGACAATGGAAAACATCCCTCTTGTTCTAAATTCAGGCCATGGAAAATACTCCTTTTGTCTTTACAATGCTCGCAATTTTATTCCTCTAGGCCTCAACCCAGTTTTCAACTTTTATCTGGAAAAAAATGATTTTCTCTAGAAAACTGTCTACTTGAGTAAATAATTTCTAAATGTTGTCACAATTATTTATATTTACTTTTAGATAATTTTTTTGTTATCATCATCGATTGGGTGACAACTTGTTAATTTCTTTATCTTATTCCAGTGAGCAATAATGTTTGTTTTTCTTATTTATTTTAATAATGATAAAAGTAGCACGTTTCATGTTAAATAGTGGATTAAAATGCTAATAGATTTGCAATGTTGTTAAAATACGCTTTAAAACCTCATCTGATTAATTTTTAATGATGAATCAAATTCCTATTAAATGAAATCGACCTTCGGAATTTTAGCATAATTTAATAGTATATAATTATTTGGCGACAGTTTTTATTGGTTAGTCATTATTAATGATGATTGCAGTAATAGATATTTGCAAATACACAATGATGACAAATAAAAACAATTCAGATTATCACTTTATTGATTTGAACTTTTCACATTTTAATGATTTCTTAAGAAACTAGTGAGGGGAAAATTTTAATATTTTTGGAGTGAAATTCTTAGAAGGTTGAAAGCTTATCATATTGAAATATTATTTTTTGGAGACTTAAAATGCGTTTTGGGCGTGGCACTCGAAAAAATTTGAATCAATTTATTTATGAGTTGAATTCAAGTGCCGAAAATATATATAAATCGATTTCATCTCTCTCACCCTGTATACAGAGGAACTAGAGGAAGAGAGATGAAATCGATTTTTGTCTATTCCTGGCTCTTGAATTCAACTCAGTCATGAACAAATTGATTGACAAACGACATTTTCAATGTTTTTCTGTCAACTCTTGTTACACAGAAATTGTGAGAAAAATAGAATCATTACCAGGCAAAAAAATATACAAAGGGAGTGAGATAAAATCGATTTCCATTTCCCACTTTATGGCCGGCTCTTTCTTACTTATTGTGTTTCCTATATCCGTCTCTTACTTATTTATTTGAAATCTATAATTGAGTCAAGCGCCAGGAATAATGAAAATATGCTTCAATACATTTTCATTTTTAATGTCAATATCTCTCTCTTTCTCATTGAATTTCCTATAATAATATCTCTCTCTTGTTATTCCAGGCTTTCGACTCAATACTCAATCGCCAAAAAAAATCAAAATTCGTATAAATTTTCTTTTCCTACTTTATATTCGTTTCTCTCTTACTTATTGTATTTTCTATATGCGTTTCTTACTCACTTATTTGAAGTTCATAATTGAGTCACTGGAACGCCAGAAATACCCAAAAATTAATGTCACGTTTATTTTTATCTCACTTTATCTCTGTATCTTTCTCACTCATTCAATTTTCAATATCGCTGTCCCGTATCATTTCAGGTTCTTAATTAGTCGAGCGCCAAGAATAATGAAAATATGCTTCAATACATTTTCATTTTAATATCTATATCTCTCTCTTTCTCATTGAATCTCTTATATTATTATCTCTCTCTCGTAATTCTAGACTTTTGACTTAACACTCAATCGCCGAGAATAATTAAAATTCGTACAAATTTTCTTTTCCTTCTTTATATTCGTCTTTTTCTTACTTATTGTTTTTCGTATATCCGTCTCTCACTCACTTATTTGAAGTCCATAATTGAGTCACTCGAGCGCCAGGAATACTCAAAATTAGTGTCACGTTTATTTTTATCCTACTTTATCTCTGTCTCTTTCTCACCCATTCAATTTCCTATATCGCTGCTTCGTATTATTTCAGGCTCTTAATTAATCGAGCACGAAAATTATTAAATTACTCAAGCACTAGGAATAATGAAAATATGTCTCGATACATTTTCATTTTAATTTCTATATCTCTCTCTTTTTCATTGAATCTCTTATATCATTATCTCTCTCTCTTGTCATTCCAGGCTTTCAACTCAACTCTCAATCGCCGAGAATAATCAAAATTCGTACAAATTTTCTGTACCTATTTTATGTTCATCTCTCTCTTACTTATTGTGTTTCCTATATCCGTCTCTCACTCTCTTATTTGAAATTCATAATTGAATCACTCGAGCGCCAGGAATACCCAAAAATTAGTGTCACGTTTATTTTTATCCCATTTTATCTCTGTCTCTTTCTCACTTATCCAATTTTTTATATCGCTGTCTTGTATTGACGCAAAAATTATGAAATCACTCGAGCGCCAGGAATAATGAAAATATGCCTCGATACATTTTCATTTTAATATTTATATTTCTCTCTCTTTTTCATTAAATCTCTTATATCATTATCTCTCTCTCTTGTCATTCCAGGCTTTCAACTCAACTCTCAATCGCCGAGAATAATCAAAATTCGTACAAATTTTCTGTACCTATTTTATGTTCATCTCTCTCTTACTTATTGTGTTTCCTATATCCGTCTCTCACTCTCTTATTTGAAATTCATAATTGAATCACTCGAGCGCCAGGAATACCCAAAAATTAGTGTCACGTTTATTTTTATCCCATTTTATCTCTGTCTCTTTCTCACTTATCCAATTTTTTATATCGCTGTCTTGTATTGACGCAAAAATTATGAAATCACTCGAGCGCCAGGAATAATGAAATATGCCTCGATACATTTTCATTTTAATATCTATATTTCTCTCTCTTTTTCATTAAATCTCTTATATCATTATCTCTCTCTTGTCATTCCAGGCTTTCAACTCAACTCTCAATCGCCGAGAATAATCAAAATTCGTACAAATTTTCTGTACCTATTTTATGTTCATCTCTCTCTTACTTATTGTGTTTCCTATACCCGTCTCTCACTCTCTTATTTGAAATTCATAATTGAATCACTCGAGCGCCAGGAATACCCAAAAATTAGTGTCACGTTTATTTTTATCCCATTTTATCTCTGTCTCTTTCTCACTTATCGAATTTTTTATATCGCTGTCTTGTATTGACGCAAAAATTATGAAATCACTCGAGCGCCAGGAATAATGAAAATATGCCTCGATACATGTTCATTTTAATATCTATATTTCTCTCTCTTTTTCATTAAATCTCTTATATCATTATCTCTCTCTTGTCATTCCAGGCTTTCAACTCAACTCTCAATCGCCGAGAATAATCAAAATTCGTACAAATTTTCTGTACCTATTTTATGTTAATCTCTCACTTACTTATTGTGTTTCCTATATCCGTCTCTCACTCTCTTATTTGAAATTCATAATTGAATCACTCGAGCGCCAGGAATACCCAAAAATTAGTGTCACGTTTATTTTTATCCCATTTTATCTCTGTCTCTTTCTCACTTATCCAATTTTTTATATCGCTGTCTTGTATTGACGCAAAAATTATGAAATCACTTGAGCGCCAGGAATAATGAAAATATGCCTCGATACATTTTCATTTTAATATCTATATTTCTCTCTCTTTTTCATTAAATCTCTTATATCATTATCTCTCTCTTGTCATTCCAGGCTTTCAACTCAACTCTCAATCGCCGAGAATAATTAAAATTCGTACAAATTTTCTGTACCTATTTTATGTTAATCTCTCTCTTACTTATTGTGTTTCCTATATCCGTCTCTCACTCTCTTATTTGAAATTCATAATTGAATCACTCGAGCGCCAGGAATACCCAAAAATTAGTGTCACGTTTATTTTTATCCCATTTTATCTCTGTCTCTTTCTCACTTATCCAATTTTTTATATCGCTGTCTTGTATTGACGCAAAAATTATGAAATCACTCGAGCGCCAGGAATAATGAAATATGCCTCGATACATTTTCATTTTAATATCTATATTTCTCTCTCTTTTTCATTAAATCTCTTATATCATTATCTCTCTCTTGTCATTCCAGGCTTTCAACTCAACTCTCAATCGCCGAGAATAATCAAAATTTGTACAAATTTTCTGTACCTATTTTATGTTCATCTCTCTCTTACTTATTGTGTTTCTTATATCCGTCTCTCACTCTCTTATTTGAAATTCATAATTGAATCACTCGAGCGCCAGGAATACCCAAAAATTAGTGTCACGTTTATTTTTATCCCATTTTATCTTTGTCTCTTTCTCACTTATCCAATTTTTTATATCGCTGTCTTGTATTGACGCAAAAATTATGAAATCACTCGAGCGCCAGGAATAATGAAAATATGCCTCGATACATTTTCATTTTAATATCTATATTTCTCTCTCTTTTTCATTAAATCTCTTATATCATTATCTCTCTCTTGTCATTCCAGGCTTTCAACTCAACTCTCAATCGCCGAAAATAATCAAAATTCGTACAAATTTTCTGTACCTATTTTATGTTCATCTCTCTCTTACTTATTGTATTTCCTATATCCGTCTCTCACTCTCTTATTTGAAATTCATAATTGAATCACTTGAGCGCCAGGAATACCCAAAAATTAGTGTCACGTTTATTTTTATCCCATTTTATCTCTGTCTCTTTCTCACTTATCCAATTTTTTATATCGCTGTCTTGTATTGACGCAAAAATTATGAAATCACTTGAGCGCCAGGAATAATGAAAATATGCCTCGATACATTTTCATTTTAATATCTATATTTCTCTCTCTTTTTCATTAAATCTCTTATATCATTATCTCTCTCTTGTCATTCCAGGCTTTCAACTCAACTCTCAATCGCCGAGAATAATTAAAATTCGTACAAATTTTCTGTACCTATTTTATGTTCATCTCTCTCTTACTTATTGTGTTTCCTATATCCGTCTCTCACTCTCTTATTTGAAATTCATAATTGAATCACTCGAGCGCCAGGAATACCCAAAAATTAGTGTCACGTTTATTTTTATCCCATTTTATCTCTGTCTCTTTCTCACTTATCCAATTTTTTATATCGCTGTCTTGTATTGACGCAAAAATTATGAAATCACTCGAGCGCCAGGAATAATGAAATATGCCTCGATACATTTTCATTTTAATATCTATATTTCTCTCTCTTTTTCATTAAATCTCTTATATCATTATCTCTCTCTTGTCATTCCAGGCTTTCAACTCAACTCTCAATCGCCGAGAATAATCAAAATTTGTACAAATTTTCTGTACCTATTTTATGTTCATCTCTCTCTTACTTATTGTGTTTCTTATATCCGTCTCTCACTCTCTTATTTGAAATTCATAATTGAATCACTCGAGCGCCAGGAATACCCAAAAATTAGTGTCACGTTTATTTTTATCCCATTTTATCTTTGTCTCTTTCTCACTTATCCAATTTTTTATATCGCTGTCTTGTATTGACGCAAAAATTATGAAATCACTCGAGCGCCAGGAATAATGAAAATATGCCTCGATACATTTTCATTTTAATATCTATATTTCTCTCTCTTTTTCATTAAATCTCTTATATCATTATCTCTCTCTTGTCATTCCAGGCTTTCAACTCAACTCTCAATCGCCGAAAATAATCAAAATTCGTACAAATTTTCTGTACCTATTTTATGTTCATCTCTCTCTTACTTATTGTATTTCCTATATCCGTCTCTCACTCTCTTATTTGAAATTCATAATTGAATCACTTGAGCGCCAGGAATACCCAAAAATTAGTGTCACGTTTATTTTTATCCCATTTTATCTCTGTCTCTTTCTCACTTATCCAATTTTTTATATCGCTGTCTTGTATTGACGCAAAAATTATGAAATCACTCGAGCGCCAGGAATAATGAAAATATGCCTCGATACATTTTCATTTTAATATCTATATTTCTCTCTCTTTTTCATTAAATCTCTTATATCATTATCTCTCTCTTGTCATTCCAGGCTTTCAACTCAACTCTCAATCGCCGAGAATAATCAAAATTCGTACAAATTTTCTGTACCTATTTTATGTTCATCTCTCTCTTACTTATTGTGTTTCTTATATCCGTCTCTCACTCTCTTATTTGAAATTCATAATTGAATTACTCGAGCGCCAGAAATACCCAAAAAAATTAATGTCATGTTTATTTTTATCCTACGTTATCTCTGTCTCTTTCTCACTCATCCAATTTTTCTATATTGCTGTCTCGTATTATTTCAGGCTCTTAATTAGTTGGGTGCAAAAATTATGAAATCACTTAAGCGCTAGGAATAATGAAAATATGCCTCGATACATTTTCATTTTAATGTCTATATATCTCTCTTTTCCATAGAATCTTTTATATCATTATCTCTCTTCTGTCATTCCAGGCTTTTGACTTAATACTCAATCGCTGAGAATAATCAAAATTCGTACAAATTTTCTTTTCTACTTCATATTCATCTCTTTCTTACTTATTGTATTTCCTATATTTGTCTGTTATTCACTTATTTGAAGTCCATAATTGAGTCGTTTTTAAGCGCCGGGAGAACCCAAAAATTAGTGTTATGTTTATTTTTTTCCTATTTTATCTCTGTCTCTTTCTCACTTACCTAATTTTCTGTATCGCTGTCTCGTATTGGCGCAAACATTATAAAATCACTCAAGCGCCAAGAATAATGAAAATATGTTTCAATACATCTTCATTTTAATGTCTATATCTCTCTCATTTTCATTGAATCTCCTATATCATTATCTCTCTCTTGGAATTCCAGGCTTTTGACTCAATACTGAATCGCTGGAAATGATCAAATTTCATACAAATTTTCTTCTCCTACTTTGTATCCGTCTCTCTCTTACTTATTGTGTTTCCTATATCTGTTTCTTACTTATTTATTTGAAGTCTATAATTGAGTCACTTGAGTATCGGGAATATCAAAAAAATAGTGGCACATTTATTTTTATCCTACTTTATCTCTGTCTCTTTCTCACTCATTCAATTTCCTATATCGCTGTCTCGTATTATTTCAGGCTTTTAATTAATCTAGCGCCAGGAATAATGAAAATATGCCACGATACATTTTTATTTCAATGTCTTTATCTCTCTCTTTTTCATTGAATTTTTCATATTATTATCTCTCTTGTAATTACAGGTTTTCTACTTAATACTCAATCGCCGAGAATAATGAGAATTCTTACAAATTTTCTTTTCCTATCTTATATTCGTCTCTTTCTTACTTATTGTGTTTTCTATATTCGTCTCTTACTCACTTATTTGAAGTCCATAATTGAATCACTCGAGCGCCGGGAATACAAAAATTAGTGACATGTTTATTTTTATCCCACTTTATCTCTGTCACTTTCTCACTTATCCAATTTTATATATCGCTGTCTCGTATTGGCGCAAAAATTATAAAATCACTCAAACGCCAGGAATAATAAAAATATGTCTCGATACATTTTTGTTTTTATGTCTATATCTCTCTCTTTTTTATTGAATCTCCTATATCAATATCTCTCTTATAATTCCAGGCTTTCGACTCAATCAATATTCAATCGCCAAGAATAATCAAAATTCACGTCTTAAATTTCTTCCTATTTTATTGCCGTCTCTTTTCAGCTCATTAAATTTCTTATAGAGGCTCTGCGAATTAGGCAATTTTGACATCTGTGACAGTATAAGAATAATAAAAATTCCTAGTAGGTTGAAATCGAGGTTGTTTGAAAGAGGTAGGTTGCCTGATAATTTTTATGACGTCATCTGGGGTGCCCTAACATAATTCAAATCTTGATGGCGTCATCAATTTTCCCCTTACCAGACAACTTCAGAAACTTTGGGTTGAGATGAAATTCCTAATTTTGAATCAAGTCTAATTTCTGTCTAAATTCGAAGCGCCATTTATGACTTTTGAAAGTGATACAACTGTCAATTATTTGAAATTGGTATGTCATCTGTCATATTTGTTTTCACATATCGTTTAATGTAAAAGTAATATTAGAAGCAAAAAATGTTCTAACTACCACCAACATGATGATGATTGTTATTATCTTTATCTTATATATGCTGATGGAAAGAGATGCTAATATCTTTTCTATTAGTAGATAAAAAAATGCTGATGTTACAAAAAAGAAGAGACAATTGAGACAAATAAAGTATGAAAAAAAAAGACTATATATCTCTATTACAAAATAAAAACCTTCATTTTTCTTCACTGTTATTATAATCTCATATTTCTTGCACATGTTCTATAATAGCTTTCGCATGTTATTGTTGTAATTAATGCAATTGTATTCAATGTTTCATAGACCTACTTTAGATGTACGTACAGTATTTAATTATTGTGTAATTATTTTTGTAGTTTTGATTTTTTCTCAATTAAAAATAATTAGGTTTGTTCCATTATTATTGGAAACTGTTTGATACCTTAAATTGTATACAAAATATGTATGTTTTTAATTTTTTTTATTTATAACTCATTAGTGCCTATGCACTTATACATGGCAGGGATGCACCTGCACCCTATGCACAATCCTTATAAAATATGTATAATTTTTACAATACAGCAAAAACAAACTTATTGCCCTTCAGCATACCTTTGGCAACCTCGCCTTGCGCGTTGGTTGTGGTTACTGACATCTGTTATTTCGAAAGCTGAGCTTAGACATGTAACTGAGAAAAGAGAGCCAAATGAGCCACATAATGGCGCCTTACTTCCATTCAGGGCCGTATCTAGACCAAAATTTTGGGGGGGGGGGTTAGACAAAGTGGCAATTTTTTTTTATTGTTACACTAGTAATAAAAAAATTAAAAAAATAAGTATTTAATAAGTGTTGTTTGTTTTTAAGTTAAATTTTTTGAATTTTATTATTTTTTGGGGGGGGGTTTGAACCCCCAAAACCCCCCCTAGATACGGCCCTGCTTCCATTGGCATTACTGTTGGTAAAATAAGCTCTGTTCCAATTGGCATGACTGGCATGAAAACCGTTCTAGGAGGGGAATTTCCAGTCGATCAATTCACTTTTTCAATTAGGATCCTCAATGATTAGGATAAACGTTGACTTATTGAAAAATAGGTGGGCAACTGGAAATTACTAGCTCTGGAACGGTTCTCATGTCTGTTGGAACAGAGCTGTTTATCGCGAGACACTTGTAATTTTTATTCTATTTTGTCGCCATCTATCTTCCTGTATAACCGAAGAGATGACGTTATTAATTGTGTCATTTGTCACTGTACGTCATTTGGGTTATTATTGTTTTTTTCTAGCGAAACATCGATAGCCAGCGCCAGAGCGTCGGTGATGATCTACGATGACGTCAACAAAAAATGGGTACCGTCCGGTACTTCGTCGGGCCTATCGAAGGTGCACATTTACCAGCATCAAGTGCACCAAACTTTCCGGGTGGTGGGCAGGAAATTGCAAGATCACGAGGTAAATTAATTGAAATATGAATACTTGAGTAGTAATGATAAGGTGTGAAGTCAAATTTTCTAAAAGAGTTTTTTAACAGTTCACTCTTTTTTTTAATAGAAATCATATATCACTAGTGACAAGTGACAATTAAATTTCCAATTAAATCTTTCAATCATCAATTTTTTTTTTATTCTGTTTTTGAAAATTAAATTTTCGAATTAAATTTAATTAAATTGTTTGACAATCAAATTTTTTATAATTTTTTTCTTTTTTTGACAAAAGAATTCCCAAAAATTTTTTTGTTAATTATTTATTTTTTTTGACAATTAAATTTCTAAAATCAAATAACTGACAATTAGGGTTTCCAACCCAGGAAATCGAAAGATTTTTCATTCCGAAAATCCTGGGATAAAAAATCTTTTTACATGATCGAATTTCAACCTGCTTTATCCTTTTTGTCTTTATTCGCGTGTTATTTAACTTTACCTCGGTAATTTACGTATGTAATAGCTTACAACACAAGAGACGTGGGAAGTGGGAATCACCTACCACCAGACCGGGATTCCTCAATTCCTGTATGGCGTGGCGCTCAGTATTAACTTTTTTACCGAGGAGTGGTAAACTGGTCAAAATCCGTATACAAGTTGGTCAAAATCCCAAAAAATTTCATAAAATCTATTCAAAATTCCTTAAAATCTTTGAAATTCTTAAAAATTTAACAAAATCTCTTGAAATTGCAAAAAATTTCATTGAAACCAAAAAAATCCTGCAAAATCTCATAAAATCATCAACATTTCTAAAAAATATTACCCTTGAAATTCCCAAAAATCCTTTGGAAATTCCCAAAAATCTGTTAAACTCTCTCAAAATTCTATAATTTAATGGCATTTCGAAGAATTTCGGCAGAAATAATTATGTTATTCTGAAAAAGGAATTACATGTAAAATTTTTGCGGAGTTTCCATAGAATTCACATTAAATTTTAGTTCCTCTCGAATTACATGAAATTTACGAAAAAATTACACGAAATCCTAAGTGAAATACATGGAGGAATTCTAAACATTTATATGAAATTACACGGAAATTCTCAACATGAAATTTCAGTTCCTACTGAAATTTAGTAAAATTCCAGAAAATTCTACAAGTGGAATGCCGAGAGATTTCCAGTTAAAAACATGGAATTTCGGTGATATTCCGAAAAATTCCCAACTGAAATTTCAATATATTCAGTGAATTTTCAAGAAATTACTTGAAGTTTCATTAATATTTCCAGAAATTCCTGGTTATTAAAAGAGAATTTCAGTGAAATTCTGAAAAATTCTTATGAAATTTTGAAAAATTCCTTGAAGTTTTATTGGACTTTCGAGAAATCTTTGGCTATAAACGTGGAATTTCAAAAGAAATTTTAGTGAATTCCAAGGAATTTTTAAGAAATTACATCAAATATCAATGAAATTCCGAAGAATTTTATGAAAATTTTGTGGAATTCCAGGATATTTCAGTGGTGAAATTTTAAGGAATTTCAGTAAAATTAAAAAAAAAATTGGAATTATTATGGAATTTTGAAATTGAAATTTTAGTGCAATTCCGAGGAATTTCATGAAATCCTATATTGTAATTCCGAAAAAAATTTGTCTATGAATTCCATAAAATCTTCTGGTGAAAGGTTAAAGAATTTCTATGAAATTACTTAAAATTATCGCGGAATTCCTATGAAATAACTTGAAATTTTAGTGGAATTCCGAAGAATTTCATGAAATTTCATAGTGTAATTCCGAGGAATTTTTGTTCAAGTATTCCATTGAATTTTATTGTGGAATTCCATGAAATTTTATGGTGAAATTTGGAAAAATATTATGAAATCTTATAGTAAAATTTTTAGGGATTTGTGTTTTTCCATTCAAATTTACCATTTGAATGGAATTTCGAGGAATTCCATAAAAGCTTCTGGTCAATTTCTAAAGAATTTCTATGAAATTAACTAAAATTTTTACGGAATTTCCATCGAATAACTTGAAATTTCAATGGAATTCCGAAGAATTTCGTGAAATTTCATGGTGTAAATTTTGAAGAATTTTTGTGCAAGAATTCCATTAAGTTTTATAGTAGAATTCCATACAATCTTATCATGAAATTCGGAAAAGTATTATGAAATCGTATAGTAAAATTTCTAGGAATTTACGTTTTTCCATTCAAATTTATCACTTGAATGGAATTTCGAGGTATTCCATAAAATTTTCTGATGAAACTCTAAGGAATTTCTATGGAATTGACTAAAATTTTCGCGACATCTATGGAATAACTTGAATTTCATGAAATCTTACATTGTAATTCCGAAGAAAAAAAAGTTCCAAAAATACCATTGAATTTTATGGTGTGAAATGTGACATACAATTTTCGCGGAATTTTCATAGAATTCACATTAAATTTTAGTTCCTCTCGAACTACATGAAATTTCGAGAGATTACATGAAATTTCAATAGAACTTCGATCGAATTACATGAAATCCTGAATGAGTTGCATGGAGGAATTCTAAACCATTAAGTACATTGAATTACACCCAACATGAAATTTCAGTGCTCATTAAATTACATAAAGAATTTTAGAAAAGTTTCAAAAAATTACATGATTTCCGAGGAATTTTCGTCGAATTGATGCAACTGCATAGAAATCTAAAGAATTGTCAGGAAATTACATCAAATTTTAGTGGAATTTTGAACAACTTATCGTTTTATAAGGAATTCCAATGAAATTCCGAAAAATCCTAATGTAATTACTTGAAGTTTTATTTTTATTCCAAGGGATTTCCAGTTAAAAACATGGCATTTTAGTGAAATTGAAATTCCGAAAAATTCCCATCGAATTAGGTACTGAATTTTAGTAAAATTAGAAAGAATCTTATAAGTGGAAATTCCGAGCAATTTCTGGCTAAAAACTTGGAATTTCGGTGAAATTCGGAAAAATTCCCATGTAATGATTGATATGAAATTTCAATGTATTTTGGTGAATTTTCAAAAAATTACTTGAAGTTTCATTTATATTCCCAGAAATTCCTGGCTATTTAAAGAGAATTTTAGTGAAATTCCGACTAATTCTTATGGAAATAAATGAAATTTTGAAAAAAAAAGTTTAAATGGAATTTCCAGAAATATTCAGCTAATAACGTGGAATTTCAGTGAAATTTTAAAAAAATTTCATAAAATTTTAGCGACGATTTTTTAAGAAATTACAGAAAATGTCAGTGAAATTCCGTAAAATTGTATGGAATTCCAGTATATTTCAGCGCTGAAGTTTTGAGAAATTTCAGTTTTAAAAGAATTATGGAATTTGGAATTTCTCGAGGAATTTCTATAGAATTTTGGATCGAAAAAAAAAAATATATGAAATATTTGCAGAATTTTTTGTGTTCTCGACATGAAATTTCGATAAAATGTTGAGTAAAATTCCAAGAAATTTTCGTCGAATTATATGCATGGAATTCCTTGAAATCTTATTGTGGAATTTCAGTGAAATAACATGGAATCTGAAAAATTCCTTTGAAATTAAACAGAATTTCCGTGGAATTTCCATGGAATCACGAAAAATTTCGACGGAATTTCGAATTGAATTAAATTTTAGTGAAATTCTGAGTAATTTCTGTCGAATTACATAAAATTTTAGAGGAATTCCAAGAAATTTCATGAAATCTTTTACTGTAATTTTGAAGATTTTTTGTACAAGAATTCCATTGAATTTTATGGTAGAATTCTATGAAATCTTATGGTGAAATTTGAAAAAGTATTATGAAATCTTATGGTAAAATTTCTAGGAATTTCCGTTTTTTCTTCAAATTTGTCATTTGAATTTAGAACGTTTGGCTACAATAACAATACACTGTTACCAAATGCAGTTCAGAAATAAAATTAAATACGTTAATTAGAAAAGGAGGAAAATATATTATTTAAGGATTCATGGCAAAATTTGTCGGTGGTAGGGCTAGCACAAAGGCACAAAAGAGACAGAGAGATGTTGTCATACGGAAATTTTGTTTATTGTTTCGTGTTTCCTCTCCGTCTTCACAGAATCTGCAAATGTTACCTTCTTCTAACCCCAACTTCTGTAGGGGCAAGTTTTTAAAATCATCAATGTCACATGCGCATTTTCACCGATGTATTGCTGTTCTTGTTATTTGACAGCGGCAAAACAAGGCTAGGTTGCCCATCAGGAGAAATACACAGAAATGCACTTATGATTTAGATTTTGGAAAACTTTGAAAGGTCATAACTTATTTTCTATTATAGAGAGAAAGTTGAAACTTTCACTGAATTTTATCCCTTTCAAAGGACAACAATCCCTGAAAATTTCAGCTCATTTGCACGTATAGTTCCTGAGATAAAATCGTGTTAAGCAATTTGGGGTGAATTATCAAGTTTTCAATTTTTCTGAGTGCCTTTTTTCATAGATTTTGGCTTCAAATCTGAGAATAATTCAGTGTATGGAGTTTGGGGTATGTTGATTGACCATTAGGATACAAAATCTCGACAAAAAAAAATTTGAAATTTCATCGTTTTAGTAAGAAGGTACCTACCTTATGATTTAGATTTTGGAAAACTTTGAAAGGTCATAACTTATTTTCTATTATAGATAGAAAGCTGAAACTTTCACTGAATTTTATCCCTTTCAAAGGACTACAATCCCTGAAAATTTCAGCTCATTTTCACTTATAGTTCCTGAGATAAAATCGTGTTAAGCAATTTGGGGTGATTTATCAATTTTTCAATTTTTCTGAGTGCTTTTTTTCATAGATTTCGGTTTCAAATCTCAGAATAATTTAGTATATGGAGTTTCGGGTATGTTGATTGACCATTAGGATACAAAATCTCGACAAAAAAAATTTGAAATTTCATCATTTTAGTAAGAAGGTACCTACCTTATGATTTACATTTTGGAAAACTTTGAAAGGTCATAACTTATTTTCTATTATAGAGAGAAAGCTGAAACTTTCACTGAATTTTATCCCTTTCAAAGGACTACAATCCC